GATACAAAATTTGCTGGAAAGTTTCAACCTTTCAAACGCAAAAAAAAAGATGCAGTTTGCAAAAAGTGAAAGTTTCGTGAAGTTGCAGTTGGAATATGGCCGTGCTCAGGCCCGATCTGCCTTGATTGGCGTGGTGCCTAACTGGTACTTACCTCGCATAGGTTAGATAGGTCGTTTAAATTAGGTTAGGACTAACCCTAATTAACGCTAATTAGGTTGCTCGTATTAGTGATTCCCTGATTGCGCGATATGAAGAAAATCGCAAACCTAAAATTATAATTTTAACGACCTAATTACTATGAAAGTACGAGAAAAGACAAAAAATTTTGCAACTTGTGATTTAAAGATAACAGAGTGCAGGTGTAGATAATCGATCAATCAATCAATCAATCAATCAATCGATTAATGGTGAGTCATCCAATGTTGGCCTGCTCCGATACCAAATTGTTGCATACTCGTGAAACACAGTCATAAGTATGGCGCAGATTCCCAGAACCGACCAGATAATACAGAGTTAATACAAATGCAAGCGGAAGACTTGAGATACCTTGGACTGACTCGGACCTGACTCAGACTACAATCGAACACTCTCAAACATTCATCAGGGGTGTGAATGCCCTGACCTCAGACATAGACGAAAGGCCAGGGACTGAAATCATCCACGGACGAAGGGAGAGAGGAGAGAGACGAAAGGAGGAGGAGAGGGAAGATGACGTCAACTCAATGTTTCCAAAGATAGTATCTTGAAATGCCACAAGTGATGAAAATCCGAAATGTCGCGAATGCCAAGTCTCACAATATCTCAGATATCGATCTCACAATGTCAAGTACATCTTCAGAAGTAGTCCCAATGTCGATGTTCCAAATGTAATCAGAATTCGTAACCATCCTTCATACTGCAGTAGCCCCGTAGGAGAACCCAGAAGTAGACTGAGACTGAGAAGATAGGAGGAGAGAGAGAGAGAGAGAGAGAGAGAGAGAGAGAGAGAGAGAGAGAGAGAGAGAGAGAGAGTTGGGGACGGAGGAACAGAGGGAGGGAAGGCAGAGCCTTCTTCCCGGTACCTGACATGTAGCTATGGCGCGGCTGGGCTGCTGCGCTGTTCCCGTCGCCGCTGCGCTCGCTGTCTCCTGGCTGCTCTCGCTAACGCTGTTGCGCTGCGCTAATCTCCTTAACGCTGCACAGCTGCGCTAATCCTGAAGACCGACTCTTGTCCATACTAACCTCCTACTGAGGCTGGTACCCAACCTTTTGTAGTGCTGGGCCGGCCTCCTACCCGCTGGTACCTACTGACCTGGACCGTTGATCTGAATCGACGGTCCAGATTTGAACTGGACTTGGCGTCTAAAAGTGGCAGCCTCTGAAACGCCGCCGGTAGGTCCTAGGCTGGACCAGTACCGGCCGTGTGGCCGTTTGGCCTGGGCCTCTACCCTGGGCCTGCCTGAACCACCGTGGTTCAGGCCCCTCTAGGCCTCATCTGAACTGTCGTCCCTTAGGCCTACCCTGCCTGTCTGGAACCGGGCCCTGATTGGGGCCCGTGTGGCTCAGAATGCCACATCCAGTCTATTCGGGTTACCATCAAATATTATATTCTGAATTCACTATTTATGTTTTGGGGCAAAGGCTCATGGGTCACAACCCACGTTTTGAATGGGCAAAAAAAACAGTCGTCCGCAGGTCCGTCCCGACCGTGGTTCAAAACGACAATAATAACAGTGGCCCGCGTTATACACATGGTGTCTGTTTGAAACAGGCACTTTTGTCTTTTTCTTTTTTTTTTCCTGTTTTTTTTTTTTTTTTTCCGTGGTATAGTCGCGCCGCGTTGCGCCGCGTGGCGGCTCGAACGAAAAAAAAAAAAAAAAAAAAAAAATCATGGTCGGGCCACGCCGGGGTTTGGCCGATATATCTGGGCCATGGCCAATCTGGGGTGTGACCGAGTCATCTCGGTCGTGGCCAATCTGGGGTTGTGGCAGAGACATCTCGACCGTGGCCCAACCATTGGGCCGATACACTTTTTTTTTCGTTCCAGCCGCGGTGCGACCATACGACGAAAAAAAAAAAAAAAAAAAAAAAAAAAAAAAAAAAAAAAAAAAAAAAAAAAAAAAAAAAAAAAAAAAAAAAAAAAAAAAAAAAAAAAAAAAAAAAAAAAAAAAAAAAAAAAAAAAAAAAAAAAAACACCTGAAGTTTGATTAAAAAAAAAGAAAAAAAAGTGATGTTTTTTTTGCCGATTTGAACTTGGACGACGAGGATTTAGCTATTGAGTGTTTTTTTTGCTGTTTTGAACTTGGAGGACGAGGATGTTACCATTAAGTGTTTTTTTGGCCGTTTTGAACTTAAAGTGTGACTCAGGAGCAGCTATCCCTTCTGTTTTTCTTCTAGCGGGCCCGTTGACTTCACCGTCCCAAACTAGGAGCATGCCTAATCTGCCCAATAATATATTTATGGTATATATGATGTCAGATTTTATACTTTAGTTCATATTAATTCACGTTGGGTATGTGGGTTGCGCGTATACACATACACATATTCCTTCATGCCATACGTACGCACGTACACCCGTACATGAGAATACGTATAAAAAAAACAAAAGAAAATCATCGAAAAAATCTAAAAACAAAAAAATGCTATGCAAAACGATATTTCAAACAACTTCTCTAGGAGACTCATCTCAAAACTCTGTACCCAACTCTAGTTAAAAATCAAAGACACAAAGAACAAATAAATTGAAACAATTAAAACACAAAAAAAGGAAAAAACAGAAAAAGGGAAAACAAACTTCTGTAACAAATAATATGTTATGCAGAAACATGACACAAACAGTTTTTTTTTTTTTTTTTTTACTCTCTTTAAAACTATACTCTTCTCTCAATTTTTCCTCACACTAGCCTAGGAGTCATCCCCAAATTCCCAACCACACTTGAGTAAGAATCAAAAACTTAAGAAAAGGTAGTCTTATCATAATAATGAACAAAGTATTTAAAAATATATTTTTTTAATTTTTATTCTTTTAAAGTTTTTGTAATGACCCGTCAGAAAACAGACTAAGAACACTGCTGATTTCTGAAGTTCTGCCGATGGAATGGATGCCTTGCTGAGATTCCTGCATTTCGCTGTGTTTTCCAAGTCTGTCTGTGTGTGCGTGCTTGTGACCTTCGTGCCTGTCTGAGTGCTTGTAAGTATGGGTGTGTGTGTGACCCGCAAGGGTACTTGCTTGTTTGGCAGGCCCGTAGGGCCGGTACTTACCTGTGGTCGTGGCATTGAGGGTTGTAGAAAGGAAAAACACTCAAGTGGCGAAGCTAGCGGCCCTTGGGGTAGAGGAAAAACACTCAAGATTGCCATGTATTTAGCCATCCAACTTCAAAGTTTATGTTTCTATGTTATTGCAGCATCAAAACGAAATTCTGAATTCTCTACAGAGGCTGGATTGACTCATCTACGTGGGAGTGTTTTACAATGTTCAGTGGAACAAATACAAAGTGGGCCGGTAGGCCGATACTGCACCCCGCTGCAGTTGGCGTAAGGGGGTACTAGAGGCCGAGCAGAAAAAGACAAAGTTGGCATTTTTAGAGTCCAGTAGCGGTAGGGTAGGTCTAGGCCGGTACCAGTCCAACCAGTCTGAGTCTCGAGCCTGTCCGGGTAATATCAGGGTCTGCAATGATGTTTCCCTCCGAAACGGAGGAAGTACCGGTTGCTTGGAGAGGCCGAGCGACCTGGAAGTCACCACCCAGGAGGCAAGTAGGTCACTATATCAAGAGGCAGGGCGGAGAGCCCAGCCTCATTCTTCAGTGTGCAAGTTTGGCGACACGCTGCTGGAGCGCTGGCTGGAGTAGCGCTGGGTACCACAGCGCTGCTGGGAGGAAGAAGCCGGGAGCTTCCACGTTGGCTATGGTGGAGCTCTACCGGTAGGAGGAGGAGGGAGAAGGGGACCAAGGAGGAGAGTGGCGAGGTACTTACTGGCTATGGTAGACACCATCTTCATCTCCTTGCTAGGCGCTGCATCAGGAAGGCCCCAGTGGGGGTAGTGCCGCATCATGGAAGCTCGGGACAGAGTCAGGCATGGTGGTTGAGTGAGCAGCGGCATAGCTGCATGGTGATGACCTTGAAGTGGGGCAGCGACATAGCTGCTTTGGGTTGTCCTTTGGACGGGAGGCTGAAGCCTCAGTAGTCCGCCATAGCCTCGGCCTGTATGTAGAGGAAGAAGAAGGGTGGCCATGGCTATGGTGGACCTCATGTTGTGCCTGCAGTAGAAGTGGGATTCGGACATTGATTCTGGTTCAATCATTCAACATTATTATTGTTATTTCTTGTTTGAATAAGAAGGGAGGAGATAAGGAGGAAGGGATTGGTTGGCGAAGAAGAAGAGCCTTGGCATTGGTCTATGCTGGAGTACATCATCATCTTCTTCTTTCTCACTTCTTCTTCTTCTTCTTTCGCTCTCTTTTCTTTCAAGTTCATTCATTTCTTTTTGCAATTGGATGGCATTGTGCTTTTAGATGAATGTATACTTCGAAATTGGCCAAGATCGTAACATTGGTATCAGAGCGGATTCTACTTGCGGGCGAGAGTTAACTTTGCTGCCATAACCCTAACCCTAGTGGTAAGGGCTAACCACTTAGGGTTAGGGCTGGAAGTTAGGGTTAAGTGGGGCAGCGTGGTAAAGGGAAGCTTCTCCCACCTGGCAGGGCCGTGTAGGGTCGACACTAGACCCGGCCAGGTTGCTTGAGTGCATGTTTGTGGTGGCGAGACACAAGGTGGGACTTCGTGATGCAATTTGAGAGAGGCGACAGTGAAGGGCACCTACAACTTGAATCTGGACTTCAAGGAAGACAAGGAGTGACTTTAGGGCTCCCCTCAAGTCAGGCGAGCTTGAGGGTGGCAGCCATATCTTCACCTACGGACTGCAAGTTGCTGCTTTGATCTTCAACATTGACGGGGGATCCGACTTTGTACTCTGGGGTAGATGTTGACCCTCCTAGATGATAGGACACTAGTGTAGAAGATGCTAATTGGGTCAGGAGGACTATGTGAGAGGGGGGTGAGTTCTTTTCATCTCAAGAGCCCGGCCACTCAGGTAAGTGTCGTGCCACCAGGGTGCCCATGTGTGTGTGCATGGAATTGACTGCCTGTTGGGGTTCTCTGGGTTCTTCTTCCATCCTCCATAGTCTTGATTGTGTGTGAGGTGTGTGAACTGCCTACTTACCTGACGAGTGAATGAATGGAGTACCTTGTTTGCCATGTGATATCTCTCTACAGTGCTTTGTTTATTTCATTCTGAGCGGTTGTAGTCTACAGGTTCTTTCTGGGGCAAAATTTCGTTTTTCAATTTAGTAAGGACAGAGTAGGTTTTTGTGAAACTCTTGTTGGTTGGGACCCGGTTCTGACTCCACTGGGACCGTTTGGGACTCAGTGGGACCGGGCCCAAACAAGAAGGGCCCCTCAGGCCAAATCTGTTGACATCAGTTTCCTTGCTCTATCTGATTGGGACACAGACTTTATGCTTTCGGACCAGGACACTCGCTGCGAAGGGGATCTCTGCTGGGACGTTTTATCAGACTTTACCGCACGATCCGCCGCCTGACTCGCACCTTGGACACCACTCAATTCTCTCTTGCATTTCGCTGTACATCTTGAATCTGATTTGCTGTGTTTTCATGGAGCTGAGGCCGGCTAGGCTTGGGAGGACCCCATACGTAGTCAGTCCAGACTGTGTGGCTGGATCAGATCTCTCTGATCTTTTTTTTTGTTTTGATGACTGCTCTCCAGTCCAAGTCAATTGCTGCTCCGGCTTGGAGTTCTACCTGCTCTTCTGACTGATTTCAAGTTGTTTCTTACATTGGGTTCATTAATGTCTGCGTCTACACAGTCGCAAACGAGAGAGAGAGAGAGAGAAGAGAGAAACTTATGAGTGTTGCTCTTGAAGGAGTGAGGAGAGGGAAGAGGACTGTTCGTCCCAGACAAGTAAGGAAGTACGGACCCCTCTTGAGAGACTTATTAACTCCCTCGTCCTCCATCATGGCATCTGCAGCAGATTGGAAGCTACAAATGGACGCTGCCCCTGAGGCAGAGAAAGCGCAGTACCGATTCTTCTATGAGAAAGCATTGAAGAGGGAGGGGGAAGAGAAAGAGAAGGAGAGGGAGGAGAAGGTAAAGGCTCATGAAACCATTTTCTGTACCTTGCCTGCCCTAACCGATGCGGAGGTGGAAGAGAAAACCGTTTCACTCCTCCGGGCTTTGGTGGACGTCCGGACTGTTGAGGACCACACTGACCAACTCGCCAAAGTGTTCGACGAACTTAAGAAGTTGCGCGAGGACATGGCCCTGATGGCGCAGCATCACCGTGACCAGCTGGAACAGTTTGCTAATGTGCAGCCAACTCAAAGCATCCTTCCGTCTACCTACTCTGCTTCTAGTGCTACGTGTCAGTCTGTTTTTGCCCCTCTAAATATGTTTTCTTCTACTTCTTCTTCGTCTTTGAGTGTGGCTAATAGCCAATCCGGATCTGCAGCAGGTCCAGACCCCGCTACTGCTGCTGCTGCTGCTGCAGCGGCAAGTGGCCGTGCAAGGAATTCTGGAACTGTTGCAGTCCCGAGTTCGGACCAGACAATGGTTGGTCTTAGCGGCAGCTTTGCTTACATCGACAGGAAGGCGGCGCAGATTCCGTCCAAGTATGACGGAAAGGACGACATCGAGTCTTGGATCAGCTCCATACGATCCTACTTTGATGTGTTGGGGACCCTCTCGTCAACCCAGTCGTCTATCCTAGGGACTAATGTGGAGCCCGTCGTGAGGGGTTTCTTGGAAACCCAAGCTGTCCAATCAGGCTATAAGAGAATAAACCTGAACAAATGGCTGAAGGCTACGCCTACCGCCACACTCGAGGATCTCTTGATCAAACAGTATGCTGATCCACATGCTACAGCCAAAGCTAGATTTAAGCTTGACAAGCTCAAGCACAACAAGTGGACCGGCACCATGCATAGCCTGCAGCAGTATGTTAGTAAACTCTTTGCTACTCCGGATCTGGAGATGACTGCGCAGTCTTGTTTAGATGTGATAAAAGGTACGGTCCCCTCTACTCTAAAAGATCGCCTAGGGCTCGGACTCAATGCATATACAGATTGGCTTACCCTCATGCAGGATTTAGTCAAGCTGGAGGCACAAGACCTCCCGGGTGGATCAAGTGGCAAAACGACCACCAACCGCAAACGGTTTTCAGGCAGCAACCGTTTTGCAGCACACGATCTGCTTGAGGCTGACGAGGAGACCCTTGTGGAGGAATCTTCTTTTGATGACGATCAAGAACAAGACTGCGGGGCATCTTGCTCTTTGTCAGCCCATGAGTCTGAGTATGTGAATGACGATGAATCTATGAATGCCTTCAAAAAGACTGTCTTTAAAAGTAAGGAACCGAGGACCACAATGAAGAACAATACTAACACGATTCTTCTTCCCAAGGGAGCGAAAATTCCACCCAAATCGGAAGATCCTGCTACCAAACCATGGGTAGATCTCCGGATTAGTGAAAGTGAGTGGAAACACAGGGTGAAGAAGGGGATTTGCCTGCATTGCACCAAACCGGGACACTCAGTCCAACAATGTTTCAGATTGCAGCAGAGGGGGTAGAGACATCATCAGCACACTCTACAGATGGAGAGGTTGAACATGTAAGTACAGATCCTTCTCAAGATTCTGATCCCACTCAACAAACCTCTCCTGAAACCCATCTGATGCTGATTCCAAGGCTGAGAAGATACACATCCTATACAAGGAGCCTTGGGTAGAGTCAGAAGAAATTGACTTCCATGCTCTGTTGACGCGCTGGGCTCATATGAAGCAAGAACGCACGCAGGGGAGAACGAAGTTGATCTTCTTAAAACTCTACATTAATGACCGTTACATCCGTGCGTTGGCTGATTGGGGTGCAACCGCCAACTACTTCTCACCGCACGACATTCGTAAGGCACGCTTGGGGATGAAGCAAGTGACTTTGCAGAATCCTTGCCGGACCCAAGTAGACAACCAAGAGGTTGTCACATCTACGCATGCAGTCAAAGGTGTGCGCACTACCTTTGACGCTGACCGCACGATCACGCATGAGTTGAACTTCTATGTCCTTGATCATTGCCCCTTCGACGCGGTTATTGGCTTGGGCTGGTTGCAGGCCCAATGTGAAAGAACCACGTGGAAGGACTCACAATTCATGGTCAAAGATGCCATGGGAATCGAGCGTCCAGTCCTCTTGGATGAGCCGTGCGAGTCCCAAGTAACTTTTCTCAATGCAATGCAGTTCTGCAAAAAGTGGCGTAGGGGCAAAGCTGATGAGCAAATGTATATAGTCTTTGTTAGGCCTGCTCATTTGCCTTCTATTTTGTGGTACATAATGATTCTACTTTGCATACTGTTTCTAGTTATGAGGCAATCACTTCTACCTCTACTAAATCTACTTCTAGTCAAAATGACTCCACTTCCAATTTTGTTGTGTTGGCTGCACCTATGCAATCTGGTATGCTTGCACCCGAAAGTGATGATCCACCTCCGAAGATCCCATCAGAAATTCGCAACCTTCTCAACCGATTTCCAGAAGTCTTGGCCGAACCGCATGGAGTCCCCGTGCGTCCGGTCCGACACAAGATCGAGTTGATTGAAGGTAGCACTCCTCCAAAGGGTTGTGTCTATCGGATGGGCTCAGGCGAATTGGAGGAGTTGCGAAGACAGATTGATGATATGATTGGGAAGGGATGGATCAAGCCAAGTGAGTCTGAGTTTGGTGCACCGGTTCTGTTTGTCCCCAAGAAAGGAGGCAAACTACGAATGTGTATTGACTATCGAGGATTGAATCGAATGATAAGAAATAATGCATATCCTTTGCCACGTATCGATGATTTGCTTGATGCTGCAGGTGGATGCAAAGTCTTCAGCAAGATCGATCTCAAGTATGGCTACCACCAGATTGAAGTGGATCCTGCAGACCAGCATAAAACTGCATTCAAAACTCGCGATGGGCTGTACGAGTTTACAGTCATGCCCTTAAGTCTCACGAATGCGCCAACCACCTTTCAAAGCCTCATGGATAAGGTATTTTGCAATCAGATCAACCGATTTGTCATTGTATATCTGGATGACATACTAATCTTTAGCAAATCGATGGAGGAGCACATGAGACACCTTGAGGAAGTGATGCAGATCCTCAAGGACGCGCAACTCCATCTCAACTTGGAGAAATCTGAGTTTGGAAGGGACAAAGTCATCTACCTTGGACATCGGTTGTCTGCTACACGCCTAGAGCCCGAGGCAACCAAAGTTGAGGTCATCCGAAAATGGCCTCAACCTGCGAATGTCCGCGAGTTACGTTCTTTTCTTGGTCTTGCGTCGTACTACCGTAAGTTTGTGCCCAAATTCTCTATCATCGCCCGTCCGATGTCTAGACTAACAAGCAAGAATGTGTCCTACACATGGAATGAGGAATGCACAACAACCTTCGACGAATTGAAAGAGGCTTTGGTGAGTCATCCGGTGCTCCGCATTGCGGATCCCAAGCTTACGTTTGTAGTAACTACGGATGCAAGTTTGTATGGGATTGGTGCAGTGCTGCAGCAAGACGATGGTGATGGCATACGTCCGCTTGAATACTACAGCAAATGCATGCCAGTCACAAGGTAGCTGCTTCCACTTACAAGCGAGAGTTCTATGCCTTGAGAGAGGCACTAGATCATTGGAAACCCTACCTCTTGGGTCGCCATTTCAATGTGTTCTCAGATCACGAGACTTTGAAACGGATTCAGACACAAATTAATCCATCAACCATATTGACCCGCTGGCTGCATGAGATTGATGTGTATGATTTTGAGATTAAGCACAAAAAAGGCTGTTATAATCGAGTTGCGGATGCTTTGTCCCGCCACCCTGAGTACATGACTTGCCTTGTGGATTCCTATGATCTCCGTAAAAATTTGAAGGAGGAACTCATTGAGCATACTGCCAAGGATCCGGAACTCAGCCCCATCCTTGAGCAGATTCGGGCTGACCCTAGCAGTCAGCCTGATTTCCATGAATGTAAGGGCCTTATCTTCTGACGTTACGGGAAGCATGATCCATTGTGTGTGTGCCCAACCATGAGCCGATCATGACCCACTTTTTGGATTTGGCTCACGGCCGGAGTGGACACTTCAACGTTGAGAAGACATACGGGAATCTGTTGGAAAACTTTGTGTGGCCTGGAATGAAAAGAATGACACAAAGGTTTGTGGATGAGTGTGAAGTTTGTCAACGCATCAAACCGTCTCGACAGAAGCCCTATGGGCTGCTGCACCCTCTTCCTATCCCTGATGGCCCGGGTGAGTCTGTTTCCATTGACTTCACGGACATGGGGAAGAAGAGCAGAAACGGTTATTCGCAAGTAATGCTGATCGTCGATCGTTTTTCCAAAATTTTGAATCCCATTACCACCTCACGCCCCAACTGACCTTGTGATCGAAGAATTTAACAAAAGGTACATTCTGCAGTGAGGTCCCCTGAAGACTCTTATGAGTGATCGGGATACCAGGTTCATAAGTGCAGATTGGAAAGACTTCACCTCCCAGACCTATGACATGAAACTCAAGACGACGTCTGGCCAACACCCCGAAGCCAATGGATTGGCCGAGGAAATCAACCAGACCGTAATCCAACTTCTCAGGGCTCTTATCGTGCCTAACCAGAACTCTTGGGATGAGGAGTTGCCGATTGTGCAGGGGTTGTACAACAACTCCATACACTCCTCCACCGAGATGACGCCTAACCGACTGCATCTTGGATGGAAAATCTGCAATCCTCTATCTTATTTGTTCCCGGAACAGCCACCTGGCCTAACACCTGGTCAGCCAGGCTACAACGCTAAGTATGATCGTTTGCTCAAAGTCGTTGTCGCAGCTATGGAAAGGCGAGGCAGTGCCATGATTAAGCATGCAAACAAAAAAGCGCCAGCCTGATCCTTTCACAGTGGGAAGTTATGTCTGGGTCAAGATGTCTGAGTTTTCTGAAGAAGAAGGCGTATCACAGAAACTTCTTCCTCAGTACTACGGTCCCTGGAAGGTGCTGAATCGAGTAGGTAATGATTCCTTCGGTCCTTCTTACACAATTGATGTGCCTGCTCATCTGCGCACATACCCAGTCTTTCACGCATCAAAGCTATTTCCGTATGAGCCACCTGAGACGTTCAAGTACCGAGAATCGATGAGTCCCCGCGCAATCAATGGCGGCCACGAGGTTGATAGAATCATCGAGCACAGTGGAAAAGGGAGAAACAGACAGTATAAGGTGCATTTTTTGTACCACCCACTGAATGACTTCTACTGGATTGCTAAGAAAGACCTACTGCAAAGTGCACCTCGCGTCGTTAACGCCTATGAATGATTGATCAATTCCGAACAACGACCAAAATTCACTGCTACCCTGACTCCTACGGAACACACCCGATTTCTCTTCGCTATCTACGCCTATGATGCATTATGCAAGGACTCTGATTGAGTTACTCGCTCGAAGGGACCTCGCTCTTGAGGGGGGGGTAGTGTAATGACCCGTCAAAACACAGACTGAGAACACTCCTGATTTCTGAAGTTCTGCCGATGGAATGGATGCCTTGCTGAGATTCCCGCATTCTGCTGTGTTTTCCAAGTCTGCTTGTGTGTGCGTGCTTGTGACCTGCGTGCCTGTCTGAGTGCTTGTCGGTATGGGTGTGTGTGTGACCCGCAAGGGTACTTGCTTGTTTGGCAGGCCCGTAGGGCCGGTACTTACCTGTGACCGTGGCATTGAGGGTTGTAGCAGAGAAAAACACTCAAGTGGCGAAGCTAGCGGCCCCACGGCCCTTGGGGTAGCGGAAAAACACTCAAGTGGGCCGGTAGGCCGATACTGCACCCCGCTGCAGTTGGCGTAAGGGGGTACTGGAGGCCGAGCAGAAAAAGACAAAGTTGACATTTTTAGAGTCCAGTAGCGGTAGGGTAGGTCTAGGCCGGTACCAGTCCATCCAGTCTGAGTCTAGAGCCTGTACGGGTAATATCAGGGTCTGCAATGATATTTCCCTCCGAAATGGAGGAAGTACCGGTTGCTTGGAGAGGCCAAGCGGCCTGGAAGTCACCGCCCAGGAGGCAAGTAGGCCGCTATATCAAGCGGCAGGGCAGAGAGCCCAGCCTCATTCTTCAGTGTGCAAGTTTGGCGACACGCTGCTGGAGCGCTGGCTGGAGTAGCGCTGGGTACTACAGCGCTGTTGGGAGGAAGAAGCCGGGAGCTTCCACCTTGGCTATGGTGGAGCTCTACCGGTAGGAGGAGGAGGGAGAAGGGGACCAAGGAGGAGAGTGGCGAGGTACTTACTGGCTATGGTAGACACCATCTTCATCTCCTTGCTAGGCGCTGCATCAGGAAGGCCCCAGTGGGGGTAGTGCCGCATCATGGAAGCTCGGGACAGAGTCAGGCATGGTGGTTGAGTGAGCAGCGGCATAGCTGCATGGTGATGACCTTGAAGTGGGGCAGCGACATAGCTGCTTTGGGTTGTCCTTTGGACGGGAGGCTGAAGCCTCAGTAGTCCGCCATAGCCTCGGCCTGTATGTAGAGGAAGAAGAAGGGTGGCCATGGMTATGGTGGACCTCATGTTGTGCCTGCAGTAGAAGTGGGATTCGGACATTGATTATGGTTCAGTCATTCAACATTATTATTGTTATTTCTTGTTTGAATAAGAAGGGACGAGATAAGGAGGAAGGGATTGGTTGGCGAAGAAGAAGAGCCTTGACATTGGTCTATGCTGGAGTACATCGTCAACTTCTTCTTTCTCACTTCTTCTTCTTCTTCTTTCCCTCTCTTTTCTCTCAAGTTCATTCATTTCTTTTTGCAATTTGATGGCATTGTACTTTCAGATGATTGTATACTGCGAAATTGGCCAGGATCGTAACATTTTCTTTAAGGTTTTTAACTTTTTAATTTTTAAATCGAGATTGGTTTGGAATTCGGGTATAGCTCCCAGATAAAAGTTGTTTGAATTATTATTCTGGACAACATACTTTTTTTTTTCAGAGTTTTGGGAGTTTTTTATTTTTATTTTTATTTTTTTAATGTACGTGTACGCATGATTTTGGGTTCGTACGCGTACGCCGGAATACGTATGCGTATGCGTACGGGGTGCTATCCAGATTCACGGCGCATGACTAAACCACCGCAAACGGTATGCCTAACCTTTGTTTGTTTCTCTCTCAGAGTAAAGCAAAGAACTGGACCCGCGCAACCTAGAGTGGACCCAATGTTTTTCAATAAACAAAGAAAGCAGGGATTCTGAACCACCCAACCTAGGGCCAGGCCCATCCTCCGTTCAGAAACCCCAAAAGAAACATGCGGCTGGATCATCTGACTTAGGATAGGCTCAACCTCTGAAAGTCAAGCAACCCAACAAGTCAAAAAAAAAAAAACACAGCAATGGTCCACTCAAGTGACTCAACCTAGAGATTACGCCCAGCCCTTGGTTGACCCGGTCAGACATAAGCAAAACCAATTTTTTGTATCTTTTTGCCACCCTTCCCCTGTTCTCCTTCCATTCAAGCAATCATCAGAATTTACACACATACTTTATTTTAATTACTTCATATTAAATACTAAACCAATTTTAATAATAGGTAAATAATTCAGCCATACTTTCATGCGGATTAGAAGGTAGTACGACTTAGGGGAATATGAGATCACATGCTTGAAACGCAGTTCTACCTAAGTGTCTCGTGCCTCTAGAAACCCCACTTGGGATCTGACAGAGCTTCCACAATCAGTGGGTCAAACGCCGGCAGGACCTTGATGCGGTTTTGTGGGTTGCAATCCCCCCTGTTGCCTTCCTCTCTTGAACGTCAGACTCGACAAAGAGTAAGAAGGATAGAGAAAGCAACTTCAAGTCTCTCTAGATACAAGGAAAGGAATCACTGTACACCCTCATGAAGACCGGTGGTAGCATGTTCATACCTAGCTCCCAAAGTCCCCGTGCAATCAGGCTTGCACGGCGTCTGCTTCAACCGGGGCTGACCAGGGGATGAGAGACTCTGCTTAGCCCCGGTACCTGCAACCGCTGTCTCGTCACGTCGCCCCGCCAAGATGGCAATGGGTGAAGGTCCCAGGTGGTTAACACTAGGGTAGGACAGGGGGGGTAGGGGTGCGCCAGGGCAAAAATAAGAGGAAGGGTGGATGGGGTCTTCAGAAAGGGTTCATCTAAGACAACCAAGTGGCTGAGTACTGAGGGTGACTGCC